TCCTTTTTTTTGGTTTAACCAGTTATATATTTAGGACCCTATAAGGCAGCCCCAAAAAAGGAACTACAATGGAGACTATAGGGAATCTTCGGCATTGCATGCATCTGTTGTTGCGCTGCATTGACCACAGCAGTGTGCAGACATATTGACACATGCATGTCGTCGTTGTATATATATATATATACATATACATATCTTACACACATATATATGTATGTATGTATGTATGTATGTATGTATGTATGTATGTATGTATGTATGTATATGTAAATGTACGTATATGTACATGTTACGTAAAGAAATATAAGAAATATGTGTACATATGACATGCATACATGTATCGCTGCACAGTTGTATCCTTCTGACTACAGAACGAGCGATGCTGGACCGTAAAGTCGTAAAATGCATGCGCCCTCCAACTCTGTATTTAAGTCCATGCCTGCCAGAAACCTAACCCACCCCAAGCCCGAAGCGCCCCCTAAACCCTAAACCCTAAACCCAAAGCCCTAAACCCTAAACACCCAACCCTAAACCCTAAACACCAAACCCTAAACCCAAAACCCCTAAACCCGTAACCCTAAACCCTAAACCCCACAATTATAAGGCAAAGCGGCGTCCACACTCACCTACGAGCGCGCCAAGCGGCCGCCTCGACTCCGGCAAGTCTCCGAGATTAGCAAAGAAGCGTCCAAACCCTGAACCCTAAACCCTACTGTAGATGATATAAACTCTGACGGTTTAGGGTTTAGGGTTTAGGGTTTAGGGGGGCTTGGGGTTTAGAGGGTTTAGGGTTCAGGGTTTACGGTTTAGGGGGGCCTCATACTACTTTAGATGGTATAAACTCTGCACTACCTTAAGGACCCTAAACTACGGGAAGTACGGTGTTTTCCTTATTATGGGTCATGCAGGTTTTATACCATCAACCTGAACACCCACAAAACCTGACAATTCCCAACGTAAGTCTCCGGAGCCCATTCACACATCATGTTTACTTTCCTGCACACTCTCGTTTCTCGACGCCTTCTTCGAGGGTTTCACCCTAAACCCTAAACCCTGAACCCTAACCCTAAAACCTAAACCCTAAACCCTTTTCGAGCTTAGTCTCTGAGCCCCAAGAAGCCGTCTGCGACCCGGGAAACACAAACCTTGAAGACGAAACGAGCCCTAAATGGGCTTAAGGTTCAGGGTTTAGGGTTAGGGTTTAGGGCTCAGGGTTCAGGATTTAGGGTTTAGGATTTAGGGTTTAGGGTTTAGGGTTGCCATATAGGGTTTCATAGTATTAGGATATAAGGCCCCGACTTTTAAGGCCCTCGTCGTCCTTAAGGAAGATACACACCTGTATGAAAGCACTAAACCCGCTAAAAAGCCCTAAACCCTAAAACCCATGTGGGTAGTTCTCTATGTTACGGTCCCTTTTTAGGTCCCCCAAATAGTACGGCAGCCTTATAAACAAGGACCCTAAAAGAAACCCCCCCGCTTCGAGAATAGAGAGGCCAATACCACCCCCCTAAACCATCCTAAACCCCAAAATCCAAACCCTAAACTCATAGAGCCTAAACCCCGAATATAAACCCTAAACCTTAAACCTTGAACCTTAAACGTTTAAACCCTGAACCCCACACCCCAAACCTTGAACCCTAAACCCCATGCAAACCTTAAACCCTAAACCCCAAACCTCAAACCTTAAACCCTAAGCCCCTCTACCGGCCTTGACTCCCGCTGTCTTCGCTCAGTCAACTCCGAAAGCTCCTTCGGAGAGGCCATCAACTGCCTTGCTTGGAGGGTCGGGGGGACTCCTTTAAGGGTTTAGGGTTTAGGGCTTAGGGTCAAGGGTTTAGGGTTTCAGAGTTTAAGGTTCGTTTAGGGTTTCAGAGTTTAAGGTTTAGGGTTTCAGAGTTTAGGGTTTAGGGTTCCAGAGTTTAGGGTTTAGGGCTTCAGAGTTTAGGGTTTAGGGTTTCAGAGTTTAGGGTTTAGGGCTTCAGAGTTTAGGGTTTAGGGCTTCAGAGTGTAAGGTTTAGGGCTTCAGAGTTTAAGGTTAGGTTTCAGAGTTTAGGGGTTCAGAGTTTCAGAGTTTAGGGTTTGGGAACTTAGTAGCAGACACTATAAAACTAAGAGAACTCCAGTTCAGGGACGTATAACCCCAATAACCCCCTAAACCCTCAGCACTAAACCTAAAAGCCCAAATCGTAGACCCTAAACCCTAAACCCCTTAACCCTAAACTCCTAAACCCTAAGCCCTAAACTCTAAACCCCTGAACCTTAAACCCCTAAACCCATTTGGGTATAGGGTTTACGGCCCAGGAGTTGGGACTTCAGGGTGTCGGCTTAGTCTTAAGACTCTAACTCTGAACCCGAACCCCAAACCCCCTAACCCCCTAGCCCCCTAACCCCCAAACCCCCAAACCCCTAAACCCTAAACCCTAAACCCAAAGTAAGGTACCCCTAACCTTCGGAAACTCCGATATAGATACTTCCCCAATAAGCCAGGGAAACAAAAGGTCAAACTTTCAGATAACTAATAAACCATAAGAACCCAACAGTTTAAAGATTGGGTATTGGAGAGCTAATTCTAACGGCCGAAATGCTGACCCTTAACCCTGGATCCTAAACTCTCTTGAATAGTTCGAGTCCGAGGTTAGCAAGATAAAAGAGTTAGGGGCTGACTACCCTAGCCCAGAAAAGGTTAACCGGTCAACCCTTTCAGATATGGTAGGATTATATACACACCCCACATTCTTAAAGGCTACTGACGAAGAACAAGGTTTTGGGATAAGGTTCCTGGCTCAGCCCTACACCCAAAAAGGTTGCGGGTTTGGGTGTTCTACTTACTTCCCCAAGAAGCCAGGGAAATACAAGGTCAAACTATCAGATTACTGCCAAATGATAGCAACCCAAAAAGCTAAAAGTTGGGTATTGGGGAACGAAGTCTACCAAAACGGCTGAGGGGACGAAGTAGATAGGGTTATCAAAACGATAACCCGGTCCGCGAGAGTTGGAACCCATAGGTATAAGAGATGCTTTAAGGGTACGGGTAAGGTTTAGGGTTTAGGGTTTAAGGTGTAGGGGCCCTAAACCCTAAACCGATATGATCTATGGCTGTCCGTTGCCACCGGGTGGTTTCAGCTTTGCGAGGATGCCAAAAAACACACTACGAGAGGACCTGTTTAGGGTTGATCGGTTTAGGGGTTCGGGTTTGGGAAACCCTGAGCCCTAAAGCCTAAATACTGCTGATGATATACATCCTGCATTGCCTTAAGAAGCCTAAGCTATGGGAATTTTGGTATATTCCTTATTATGAGTAGTGCAGGATTTAGATCATCAACCGTAGGGTTTGGGACTCGGCTTGGGAGTTTCGGATTTCGGGGCCTTGGGGCTCGGGCATTGCTGCGTTGAGATGAGATTTCGTCAAACCGTCTGACAGAGAAGCCTGCATAAGTACTATAACTGTTCCT